ATGTTTGAGTCATGTTTGAGTCATGTTTGAGTCATGTTTGAGTCATGTTTGAGTTATGTTTGAGACATGTTTGAGTCATGTTTGAGTCATGTTTGAGACATGTTTGAGTTATGTTTGAGTCATGTTTGAGTCATGTTTGAGTCATGTTTGAGTCATGTTTGAGTCATGTTTGAGTCATGTTTGAGTCATGTTTGAGTCATGTTTGAGACATGTTTGAGTCATGTTTGAGACATGTTTGAGTCATGTTTGAGTCATGTTTGAGTCATGTTTGAGTCATGTTTGAGTCATGTTTGAGTTATGTTTGAGTCATGTTTGAGACATGTTTGAGACATGTTTGAGTTATGTTTGAGTTATGTTTGAGTCATGTTTGAGTCATGTTTGAGTTATGTTTGAGTCATGTTTGAGTCATGTTTGAGTTATGTTTGAGTCATGTTTGAGTCATGTTTGAGTCATGTTTGAGTCATGTTTGAGTCATGTTTGAGTCATGTTTGAGTCATGTTTGAGACATGTTTGAGTTTGAGTCATGTTTGAGACATGTTTGAGTTTGAGTCATGTTTGAGTCATGTTTGAGTTATGTTTGAGTTATGTTTGAGTCATGTTTGAGTCATGTTTGAGACATGTTTGAGTTTGAGTCATGTTTGAGTTATGTTTGAGTTATGTTTGAGTCATGTTTGAGTCATGTTTGAGTCATGTTTGAGTTATGTTTGAGTCTTGTTTGCCGTCATACTATTATGTTTATATTTTGAGCAAAACACATCATAGACATGTTTTTATATATTTGTATATATCCGAGACCCATAATATATGCCTAAAAATAGCATGATAGGAGAACTTTAAAGTTAGATTTAAATCTGTAAACCCCAGCTCGCTCTACACTATCTGTCGGCTGCTACCAGAGCGCTAACTGATGAAGTGTTTTCAGGAGGAAATGTGATGACCGTGGCTGAGTGGCGTGACATCCCCGTGTAGAATGGATTAAAACCTGCAGCTTTCTTTTCAGCATCAGCACAAAACACCTCAGTTCGGTTTGGCAGCATCCAGGTTACCTGAGCAGCCGGTCGGGAGGTCGTATTTGCTCTCACAGGAGATAAGGAGGCTGTGTCAAATCATTTATTGAGTTTGAATTGAAACTCTCAAAATATGTAACATTCCCCAGGCGTCTTAATCCGTGTGTTTGTTTAATAAACAGCAAGTTGTTGAGGTTTCTGGGATGTTGAGGTCGAGGAGCCGGGTCAAGCCAGCAGCTGGTGATTATCAGCGTTTTAAGGATATTTAAGCTGAGCAGGAGTTTAGGGGCTCCTTCCAGAGATGTAATGAGATACCTTATATGGCCCTCCATGAAATCATTGGATGATACAGCTCTACATTTCATCCTTATAAAAGCATTTGAGACTTTTATTGAATGTTATATTGCAAATAAAGTCTCTGTGTTTCTTACCAAATCTGTCTCTGCGACCTAAAAAACATGTTAGCATACATTTAGCCAGCGTTATTAAAAGACTTCTGAGAAACTAAATGCACGACACAAGGGATACATATTCTGGGAGTTTATTTATGCATGATAGCATTTAGTTAGCTTAATATTAGCCATCTTACCTCTAACTGCAAACACCAGAGAAGCACCGACATCAGTAACAGTGATCACTTCTTCTCTCACTTCAAACAGATGTATTTTATTATCGTAACTTTATTAATTACGAAAGGAATACAGCAAACATATGCTATATATTGACTGCTGCAGCTGCTACTATAGACGCGATCCTCCACAGATGGTCCCAGAATGCACTGCAGTTACCATTACAAGACATCGGGGACTCTGTAAAAGGTTGCAGTGGTGAAGCGTACCTCAAAATATTTACATTTTCTGTATTTTACTTCTCTTGTCTTGTCTAAACTGAAGCCTAAGACTGTGAGATCATGTGTTTCGTTGTGTGTGTCTATGCAGATCATTTTGCATATTTCTTGACCTATCAGTCTAATATTTCAACCCAGTCTCACGGCATTTCGTGTTATAGTCACAAAATGTAATCTATTGATTCGTGTTCACCAACACGATTTTCCCATTTTCTTCGTGTCACACAGAACGATTTTAAAAGCAATGTAAATAATAAGAAATTAGAAGGAAAAAAAGATTTAAAAAAACACAGATTTTAGTATTCTGAGGCTCTGAGACATTTATTTTCCTCGCGGACGGCAAAAAAAGTCAGACATTATACAATTTAAAATAAAAACAATAATCGTGGCTTGATATTGAGTAAGAACATGTTTTTATGAACCACACAGCTTCTGGTCTTCCAAGACCCAACAAAAAGACATGTTGCAGGCACGAAACATACTACCAATAGGAATACATTGCTTTTAAAATCGTTCTGTGTGACACGAAAAAAATGACTATAACACGAAATGCCGTGAGACTGGGTTGAATATGTATGACGGTATCCTTGATGACCTCTTGTGGTTGCATTGATTTGATTATAAAACTATTTTGTTGACTGTTTTAGGCCGTCACTAACTGCGTACTCCTAACTCTTCTAAAACGGCCCATCAACTACTGCTTCACTAGCACTAGAGCCTCACCTGAAGTGAACCTTTCCAGTCTGTTTCTTCTCTTGTGTTTTGTTCATAACTTCGTGCCTTGCCAATTAGATTACCATCATCATTATCAGAACAACTCCTCGTCTGATCTTTTTAAATGAAATACAAAATGAGAAAATGCGAGGAATGTCCCTGAGAAGTCTGGCATGAAGCCTGCTGGGTTTGAACCCCGCTGAACAGTAGCTCCATTATCCCAGAGATTCAGAACGTATCGTTTCTGTGCTTGACTGGTTGTCTGGCACTGCATCACACAGGTGAGGTGCACGCTGAGGACACACCTGCACCTGAACCCTCCTCACAGCTGTGTCCGAGCCCCGGGGGGTCACATATCACCCAGACAGAACCATGGCTTTGATTTAACGGCCGCACTCACGGTCCAGACACGAGGCGGAAAAAGCAATTGATGGATGTTTAAACGGATCACTTTGGGAGTACTGTTGGAAACCCAGACCCCGTTCACAGCTGGTTTTAACACGAAGCAATATAAAGGGATTGGATCAAGTGAGCAACAGGTGTAAAGATCAGTTATTTTAGATGAATCTGCCCACTATATTAAAGATGAATGGCTTGGTTCTATAATAAATCAGAAAAAGAGTTTGTTTCTCTTGAAATCCAGGACAAAGGTCTTGGTTTGTCTGAAACATTCCCTTTTTAATACAATATTAAAGAAGTCTGTGCCTCGTATTTTCCTCATCCTTCTATAGTTTGTACTCTTGATGTTCTTTTGAGTAAACGTAAGACATCTCTCTGTTGTTGGAAACTTCCCTAACATGTTTGATGGTCTTATTTGAACAATGTGGTCACATGACTCCTTCTGATGTTACTGCAGATCTGCTGTAAGCTAGCTAGCTAACGTAGCTAACCTAGTCATTTCAGATATACTGACAAACACTAAAGTTATGAGACGACTCACTCAGAGACAGAGACAGCTGTGCATCTTTATAATCCCCCAAACAAGACAACGCAACTTTTCTTTTTTCTGTCCTCTTTTATTCGCCAGCATTGATTTGATGTCTTATTTTTTGGAATCAGCTTTTTCTTTTGGTCAATTATTTTAATGATTGAACTTTTTTTTGTTATTGTCCATTTGTCATCAACTTTAATCTGTTCTGTTGCCAACATTTTTCTTTGTCATCATATTTTTTCTCCTTTTGGCACCAAATATTTTGGTCAACTTAGTAATAATAATAACTAGAGGTAAAATAGCTGCGATCATATCAGAAGGAGTCATGTGATCACATTGGTCAAATAAGCCCACACATTTTTTTAGGTAAGTTTCCATCAGCAGAGACAGTTGTGTGCGTCACTTTGTAGTGTCCCCTGGTTTCCGTTGTTAGCCTCTGCAGACCATTTACATGCACTAACACCTATAACACACTGCAGGAGAGGGAACACCACAGAAAGCAGAAACAGGCCTCTTTCAAATATTCAAAAACATTTAATTGTGAGCACACGAGGTAAGGATTGAATAGAAATACCAAACGGAGAAATCAGTAAGATGATTCATATCTAAATATTCATGGAAGCTGCAGCTGGGAGCTTTGTCTCTTGAGTTTTATGAATGTTCATTTCCAACCAGACACAACCTTTACTTCAAGATTTACGGGAAAATATTCAGACGGGAGGACAGTGGGGAGTTTAGAGCAGAACAAAGGACAAAGACAGAAATGACTTCATGTATTCTGGTCTCCATCAGGGCAGAATAACAACGCACGCACGCACGCACGCACGCACGCACGCACGCACGCACGCACGCACGCACGCACGCACGCACGCACGCACGCACGCACGCACGCACGCACGCACGCACGCACGCACGCACGCACGCACGCACGCACGCACGCACGCACGCACGCAGCACGCACGCACGCACGCACGCACGCACGCACGCACGCACGCACGCAGCACGCACGCACGCACGCACGCACGCACGCACGCACGCACGCACGCACGCCGCACGCACGCACGCACGCACGCACGCACGCACGCACGCACGCACGCACGCACGCACGCACGCAACGGCACGCACGCACGCACGCACGCACGCAGCACACACACACACACACCACACACACACACACACACACACACACACACACACACACACACACCACACACACACACACACACACACACACACACACACACACACACACCATAAAGCCCACAGACAGCCTTTGATCACTCTGGGAGTGTGTACAGAAGCCCCTCTGCTCACCGTACACGGAGGGTTGGTCTGTTCTTCAGATCGCTGTTGGATCATCTCAAATCTCCCAGGAAGCTGATATGTGTCCATGGCGCTCACGTATTACCACTTGAGTCCCAGGACTGGCGCCTCGTTCACACCTGGCTTTAACTTTAGACTCGGGAAAACGTACATAAGAGGAAGGATCTAAATATGGTACATGATCCCTGGAGTATCCGGTAACTACGTGTGAACAAATCACACTTTCACGCTCTCTCTATGCAGGAAACACTTTCTGTTGCACTGACCGACTGCAGGTGTTTGAGGATTATTGTTTAATGCCAAAAAGAGCAATACTGTAGGATAGTTTGATCATTTGTGTGTTGCAATTTGTCCTCCATTATAAGGAGGCCGACAGGTGCAAGCGCACTATACCGGCCAGAAACTCTTCCATCAGGAGAAACACGCTGCAGCTTCAGAACGTCAACTTTAATGTACATGTTTCTGTGTGTTTGTACAGACAGAGAGATCGAAATAACGTTTCCAACAATCCCGAATACAAAATACAATAATACAAATATGTATAAAAATATATATAAAATATGTATATCCTATATATATATACAACCAACAGACACATTTACACATATGCACACATTAAGATAAAACACAACATCAATATATACAAAATAACAAAATAACAGTCACTTCAATATCTTTGGGAATGTACATCGTGCAAGACTGTCCATAGCAGCGTACAAAGAAAGGATGCAGATATAAAAACCCAAATGTTCCTCATGAAGAAACATCTCCAGCAACACACGCAGCCTTTAGAGAACATTCAGCCACTTGAGGAGACATGGCAGCGTTTACTAAAAGCTGCAGAAACCAAACGCTGCAAATACAAAACGGTCCAGAGCGACTGAAGTCCTTCCTGTCTCCTTCGTTCTGAACTCTCCACCCTCCTCCCGTCTGAATATTTTTCCGTACATCTTTTGTGTTTTTATTCTTTTGAAATAAAGGTTGTGTCTGGTTGGAATTGTCCAATAATAAAACTCAAGAGACAAAGCTCCGAGCTGCAGCTTCAATGAAGATTTAGAAATAAATCTGAATTAAATCTCAATAAATCTGGTATTTCTATTCAATCCTTACGTCATGTTCTCATAATGAAATGTTAGACTATTTTAAAGAGGCCCTATTCTGCTGTGTGCGGTGTTCCCTCTCCTGTAGTGTGTTGTATTGATGTTAGTGCATGTTAATGGTCTGCAGAGGCTAAAATCCCTCCCCTACCTGCCTGAAGCGCCTCAATTGAACTTTGTTTACTTCCTGAACATAGTGACATCACTATGAAACACTCGCTAGCGCTCCAACACATTGTACGTGATAGGTTGAGGGGCGGGACATCTCTAAGCTGGTTGACCAATCACAACAGAGCAGGCCAGCTAACCAATCAGAGCAAACTGGGCTCTGGTTTCAGACAGAGGGTGAAAAGAGTCCATATTTAATCACATTGGTGCTTTGAGCTACATGCTAACATCAGCATGCTAAAATGCGCACAATGACAATGCTAACATGCTAATGATTAGCAGGTATAAAGTTGACCATGTTCACCAACTAGGTTTAGCGTGTTAGCATGCTAGCATTTGCCGGTCAAAATGATAAACACAGAGAAAGTTCTGCAGGGATTTTGGTCATAGAAAAAAGTGTTGGATGCTTTCTTTCCTTAAAGTGGACCTATCATGCTATATTTGAATAATATAGTGTAGGACCATACCTATATAAGGCATATTTATACTTTTTTTTTTCAAAATACCAAACAGATCATGCATTTTAGCCATGCCTCATTTTGCTCAATTTGACAATTTCTAGCTCTGTTTTAGCAAGGGCAGATTCTGTGAGAACAGCACCACCTACAGGCCTGGCATATGTACTACAGCGTCTCCAGCGCTTTCGAACGGCAATGGCCGTGGCTGTCTCCTCCTGATTGGTGGAGTTGGCCCAATAGCCGTAGCTCCACCGTCCTGACGTCAGGACAGTGTTCAAATCTGGATCAGTTTTGATCAGATCCGTTGCAGCCCCTTTTTTAGAGATTTGGGTATGGAGGAAAATAGAGAGGGTTGTGTTTTCTGACACTTGGTGAGTTCCCTGGAACACCGGGGACACATATTCATGTAGACAAGACGTACACAAGTGCATTTTGCATGATAGGTCCCCTTTAAATATAAATGTTTGGAAGGAGGGTCCTCTGGTGCAGCTAACCAAACTGCAGTGGGAATAGCATTTTCAAAGAATCCTGAAAATAAATCGGACTTATAGAGCAGTTTCTGACACCTACCAAACAATTGTAAAAGCACAGCGTAATGAAAACTGTGAAAAGACCTTCTTATATTGTTCTCTGCCGGAACACGACCTAGTAAGCTTCTGCTCTAAACTTATTTCTTACAATTTACTATTTATATTTCATATAAAGAAAAAGCTAACCTTCTATTTGTGTTTTCTAGCCTCTACATTCGCCGTTACGAGCCCCACGGTGGAGGAGGGCCCCCTGGTGCAGCTCCCCCACACGGCCCACCGGAGAGTGAAGCGCTGCTCCTGCGAGAACCAGAAAGACAAGGAGTGTATTTTCTTCTGCCACATCGGTATCGTGTGGGTCAACACGCCGGGGTGAGTGTGTTTTCACAGTAACGAGACTCTGCAGCTTAACGAGATGATAAAACAAACCCGAGATAAGAAAGCCAGCATTAATCCCAGGATTTCCCCGCCGCAGTAGCTGGGAGTTTTCTGAGGGAGGACAGAGAGCGTTCACTCCAACTAAGATACATTTTCACTGCGTAGAAACACAATCCGTCATCTGCACCAATCAGCATTCTGGAGGATAGGAAATACTGATATACTCAGTTATCTGGATATTAAAGTCACTCAATTTAACGCTGCTGATTTTTCCTTTTGCTTAAATCTAAACTAACACGTTAAGCATGAAAAATGTGTTACTCACATCAAAAATGTCCCCGTAAAGCATGTTCTCGCTTAGTTTGGTGCCAATATAATAATTCAACAAATACTCCCCTTTCACTGCAAAACGTTTGGACTGAAATATCTACGTGGAAACCTCTAATAATGAGAGGAGCCAAGGAAGAAGTCTTGTGTAGTAAAATATTGATAGAACATGATTTTTAACGATACAGAGACCGATGTTGGTGCACCGAATGAAACCAAGAGTTAACTTGGACGTATTTTAACTGATGTACATAACTTACCTTACATAAGAGACTTTTAAAAACCTAAAACCTTTTACTAAATAGCTTAGAAGTAGTTTGTCAATTACACCGTTGAAATATACAACTGGTGCCATCAAACGCTCACGTATGTTATTCTGAGACTTATTGGGAAACAAGCGTAGAAAGTAAACGAGGTCAACCACACATACTGTACGTCAACACATTGGTTTTTGCCCGTTAACATGATGGTTGTTGGCATTGTGGTTTTTGTCTCTAAACATGTTGGTTTTTAACGAGTCATCCTGGTTTCTGGCATCAAAATGTTGTTTTTGGCAGCAAACAATTAGATGTTTGGCCATCGCTGTCATAGTTTCGGACATCGACATGTTGGTTTTAGGCTAGTTTTTGGCCGTTAACATGTTTGTTTCAAACATCAAAATGTTGGTTTTCAACATGTTTAAGTCGTCATAGCGACCAAAAACCAATGTGTTTCCTGCCAAAAACAACATGTTTACGTTGGCGTAAACATGTTGGTTTCTGACCTTAGTCATCATGGTTTCTGGCATCAACATGTTGTTTTTGGCAGTAAACAAGTTGGTTTTTGGTCAATGTTGTCATGGTTTTCAAACGTCAGAATATTGGTTTTTTCCCGCTAACATGATTGTTGTTGGTATTGTGGTTTTTGACCTTAATCATCTTCGTTTTTGGCATTAACATCCTGTTTTGGACAGTAAATAAGTTGGCTTTTGGCTAATACTGTGTTGGTTTCATCAGCATGTACGTTTTTCACATGAGTCATCCTGTTTTTGGCCCTCAGCATTAGGATTTTTGGTTGTCACCATCTTGGTTTCCACGCGACCAGCAGTGACACGAAACCATGGAGCTATGTATAACTGACCAAATATGTTTAAGTCACCAAAATGTTTAAATTAACATTCATGAAATGAAAACTCACAAATCTGTATTTTCAGTCCTGACTTTAAACCATGTAGTCTAAAAGTCGTTTTATCGCTGTGTGAGCCGTACCGCTCAAAATGTCTGGATGTTTATTCCCATTCAAACGTACAAATCTTAGCTGCTTCAATTAAAAATAACTTCTGATGTTCGGAATATATAAAACTATAATCCTTGAGTTTAATTAAATATATTTTGGCCCGCAGGATGAAAGACTTTATAACCGAACTAAAGATGAACTCACATTCCTCTTTATATTAATCACAGGGACCACATAATTCATCTCTGCCTCATTGCATCTGCACAGACATTTTATTAGTTTCATTTCCTTCTCTAGCTGCTTATATTTTTAGACTCTCTTCACAATTGGTAACAATTAACTTCATTTGAGTTCAGTATGCACAAGCAATGAGTGAGCCGTTAGATGTGGAGCTGCTAATGAGAAGGAGCACCTTTCCTAACGAAGGGTAATTCCTGCCATGTTTCCTCTGCTGCTCTTAAATAGACTCTTTAACTCTTTAACAGAAACCACGAGGAGACCACAGAGAGCCTGAAATCACAAGTTAACTCCTTACCTTCCCGTCAAACTCTTGGGTTGAAACGAGGTTTGTTGCAGATTATAAAGTAAAGATATAATGGTATATGTAGTATTTGTCATGTAGTGTAACAAATACAACCCTTAAAGGTGGGGTAGGTAAGTTTGAGAAACCGGCTCGAGATACACTTTTTGTTATATTCCATGGAATGCTCTTAACATCCAGATAGCAATGAATATCTGAAGTGCTTTGACAAAAAATCCATAATAAATATCATCTGTGGAAGCTGTAGTACTGTAAAAAGCACGACCAATCATCTGAGCCGGCCCGGCTAAAATAACTGGATGGCCTACCTGCCTGTCAGCCTTCCATCTGTGCACAAACTTATCTCGTGCCCTCATTGGTCATGTGCGCGTTCGTGTGTGTTGGAGGAGGGGCTCTGTGAGGAAGTGGCAGATTTGTTCAGGCTGTGTATTTTCAAATTCTTGCGCCCTCGAGCTGGTTTCTCCAAACTTACCTACCCTACCTTTAATAAAAAACGAAATGATTCAAATGACTTTATTTCAGATATAAATTTGGATTTTTGTTGTTTCCAAACTATTGGAAGTTATTTGACTAACCTTTGTGATATTTATGTTTGAATATCCAGTTTCTTTCTACCGATTAGTCACATTTGAAATGAATGATCTTGAGAGGAAGAAGTAAAACAGACGTCCATTGGTGTGAAGCTCTGGGTGAGATCGTTAGTCTAAACTTAGCGTTGTGGTTGAAGGCAATCTTCGTGCCTTCACCATGAAGACGCTTTAAAGGCGCTGGCAGTTCCCACCAGCTACATCTAAACCACTAACGTCTGTGCAGAACTTCCTGCTAAACTCCTTTTCTTTCACATATTGAATTATTTTTTATAGTGTATTTTGGTTTACAACACAGGAAGTGGATGTAGTCACCCATTGGTTTGTGGACACACAAAGCGGAGCTAAGTTCAGCAAAATGATGATAAGACTTCTTTAAGTTAATTATCTAGTAAGTAAAAACAGACTGTGAAAGGGTAAACATTAAGTAGAGCAATCTAACAAAGCTAAGTGCAACTGAACGCTAAAGAACACGTTTTAAGGCGGCCTTATTGTTGGAATTAGCTTTCATTAAGTTACATTTCACTGGAGAAAAAATGTTATTGTTGTAAAATAAAAAAATGTACAATGCTGTGGTAGCAACCTGTCAATCACAGGTAGCCCCGCCCTAAAGTATACGCTGCTTTATAGTCTGTTTCACTCTAAGTGTGAACATAATTTACTAAATGAACTTCATGCTGTGTTGAAGAAGACAGCTAGAGAGATTGAGATCATAAACTCATCAGGAAAATCTGAGGTAATAAAGAGAGAGAGAAGTAGGAACATTTCCTCATAGACTTCTCTACAATCTGAGGTAATACAGAGAGAGAGAAGTAGGAACATTTCCTCAGACTTCTATACAATCTGAGGTAATAGAGAGAGAGAGAAGCAGGAACATTTCCTCATAGACTTCTCTACAGTCTGAGGTAATAAAGAGAGAAGTAGGAACATTTCCTCATAGACTTCTATACAATCTGAGGTAATAAAGAGAGAGAGAAGTAGGAACATTTCCTCATAGACTTCTCTACAATCTGAGGTAATAAAGAGAGAGAGAAGTAGGAACATTTCCTCATAGACTTCTCTACAGTCTGAGGTAATAAAGAGAGAAGTAGGAACATTTCCTCATAGACTTCTATACAATCTGAGGTAATAAAGAGAGAGAGAAGTAGGAACATTTCCTCATAGACTTCTATACAATCTGAGGTAATAAAGAGAGAGAGAAGCAGGAACATTTCCTCATAGACTTCTCTACAATCTGAGGTAATAAAGAGAGAGAGAAGTAGGAACATTTCCTCATAGACTTCTATTCAATCTGAGGTAATAAAGAGAGAGAGAAGTAGGAACATTTCCTCATAGACTTCTATACAATCTGAGGTAATAAAGAGAGAGAGAAGCAGGAACATTTCCTCATAGACTTCTCTACAATCTGAGGTAATAAAGAGAGAGAGAAGCAGGAACATTTCCTCATAGACTTCTCTACAATCTGAGGTAATAAAGAGAGAGAGAAGCAGGAACATTTCCTCATAGACTTCTATTCAATCTGAGGTAATAAAGAGAGAAGTAGGAACATTTCCTCATAGACTTCTCTACAATCTGAGGTAATAAAGAGAGAAGTAGGAACATTTCCTCATAGACTTCTCTACAATCTGAGGTAATAAAGAGAGAGAGAAGTAGGAACATTTCCTCATAGACTTCTCTACAATCTGAGGTAATAAAGAGAGAAGTAGGAACATTTCCTCATAGACTTCTATACAATCTGAGGTAATACAGAGAGAGAGAAGTAGGAACATTTCCTCATAGACTTCTCTACAATCTGAGGTAATAAAGAGAGATAGAAGTAGGAACATTTCCTCATAGACTTCTCTACAATCTGAGGTAATAAAGAGAGAGAGAAGTAGGAACATTTCCTCATAGACTTCTCTACAATCTGAGGTAATAAAGAGAGAGAGAAGTAGGAACATTTCCTCATAGACTTCTCTACAGTCTGAGGTAATAAAGAGAGAGAGAAGTAGGAACATTTCCTCATAGACTTCTCTACAGTCTGAGGTAATAAAGAGAGAAGTAGGAACATTTCCTCATAGACTTCTATACAATCTGAGGTAATAAAGAGAGAGAGAAGCAGGAACATTTCCTCATAGACTTCTCTACAATCTGAGGTAATAAAGAGAGAGAGAAGTAGGAACATTTCCTCATAGACTTCTCTACAATCTGAGGTAATAAAGAGAGAAGTAGGAACATTTCCTCATAGACTTCTATACAATCTGAGGTAATAAAGAGAGAGAGAAGCAGGAACATTTCCTCATAGACTTCTCTACAATCTGAGGTAATAAAGAGAGAGAGAAGTA